GCCGCCCCGTCGCCGCCTCGTCGCTGCCCGTCGCCTGGACCTGATTGTCGGTCTGGCGGCTGTGTTGTCGCCCCGCTGCGGCCTCGCATAAATGTACCATATAGGTTGCACAAATATTGCACAGCCTAGATCGCACTGCATAGATTGCATCACATATATCGCACAATATGGATTTTCTTTTTTCTAATTAGCCTGGCGAAGGACCCAACCATATGCAGTTGAGAGTACCGCAATTGTGAATATCTTCTTCGGTGGCGCTCCCTATGGGGCCACGAGCCGTATGAGGGGTGTGCCGAAATGCGTGGCAGTGTACACAACACGAACGAAGACGATAGGTCCGAATATGAAAGCTTGAGCGCGTGCGAGTCGGATCGCGAGCGAGTCTGATTATGAATGAATCTGCGCGCGATTGATTCTATTCGCATGAATGCGTGCATGGATACGCCCAGTGTAAATGTATGTATACGACTGTGAACAGTTTGGGTCTGCGTGACTCTCGGTACTCGTGACTCTGAGCGTCGCCTCTGCAGGGGGCTTCCCTGGGAACCCCGACGGCAGCGCCCGCGCGCCGCGACGCCCATGTCGGCACGCCACACACCTGGTGTGCGGGACGCATGCGGACGGCAGCACTGGGGCCTTCGGTGGAGCTCCCTGTGGGGCCACGAAACGTGTGAGGGGTGTGCCGAAATGGGTGTGCGGGACGCATGCGGACGGCAGCCATGGGGCCTTCGGTGGAGCTCCCTATGGGGCCACGAAACGTGTGAGGGGTGTGCCGAAATGGGTGTGCGGGACGCATGCGGACGGCAGCACTGGGGCCTTCGGTGGAGCTCCCTGTGGGGCCACGAAACGTGTGAGGGGTGTGCCGAAATGGGTGTGCGGGACGCATGCGGACGGCAGCCATGGGGCCTTCGGTGGAGCTCCCTATGGGGCCACGAAACGTGTGAGGGGTGTGCCGAAATGGGTGTGCGGGACGCATGCGGACGGCAGCACTGGGGCCTTCGGTGGAGCTCCCTGTGGGGCCACGAAACGTGTGAGGGGTGTGCCGAAATGGGTGTGCGGGACGCATGCGGACGGCAGCCATGGGGCCTTCGGTGGAGCTCCCTATGGGGCCACGAAACGTGTGAGGGGTGTGCCGAAATGGGTGTGCGGGACGCATGCGGACGGCAGCACTGGGGCCTTCGGTGGAGCTCCCTGTGGGGCCACGAAACGTGTGAGGGGTGTGCCGAAATGGGTGTGCGGGACGCATGCGGACGGCAGCCATGGGGCCTTCGGTGGAGCTCCCTATGGGGCCACGAAACGTGTGAGGGGTGTGCCGAAATGGGTGTGCGGGACGCATGCGGACGGCAGCACTGGGGCCTTCGGTGGAGCTCCCTGTGGGGCCACGAAACGTGTGAGGGGTGTGCCGAAATGGGTGTGCGGGACGCATGCGGACGGCAGCCATGGGGCCTTCGGTGGAGCTCCCTATGGGGCCACGAAACGTGTGAGGGGTGTGCCGAAATGGGTGTGCGGGACGCATGCGGACGGCAGCACTGGGGCCTTCGGTGGAGCTCCCTGTGGGGCCACGAAACGTGTGAGGGGTGTGCCGAAATGGGTGTGCGGGACGCATGCGGACGGCAGCCATGGGGCCTTCGGTGGAGCTCCCTATGGGGCCACGAAACGTGTGAGGGGTGTGCCGAAATGGGTGTGCGGGACGCATGCGGACGGCAGCACTGGGGCCTTCGGTGGAGCTCCCTGTGGGGCCACGAAACGTGTGAGGGGTGTGCCGAAATGGGTGTGCGGGACGCATGCGGACGGCAGCCATGGGGCCTTCGGTGAGCTCCCTGTGGGGCCACGAAACGTGTGAGGGGTGTGCCGAAATGGGTGTGCGGGACGCATGCGGACGGCAGCACTGGGGCCTTCGGTGGAGCTCCCTGTGGGGCCACGAAACGTGTGAGGGGTGTGCCGAAATGGGTGTGCGGGACGCATGCGGACGGCAGCCATGGGGCCTTTCGCGTTACATGTCCATCACATGAAATATGAATTTACACTATCCCAGGGGGGCCGGTATCGACCCCCCCTGAGGTTCCCTTGTAAAACACAAGATGTGGTGCCATTGTTTGTTTAAACATAAGACTATTTCGCGAACCCCTTTGAAAAATGAGACGAAGTGCGCGCGCGCGTCGTCGCGCGCGCATGCCGAAATCCTTCAAAAACCTTCGGTGCCAGAAGGATTTCGCAATCGAGTTTCCAAAAAAAACGTCGCGCGCGCAATCGAGTTTCCAAAAAAAAACACAACACAGGGTTTCGCAACACTCATTCTATACAACAACAACAACAACAACAAACAAAAACAAAAACAAAAACAAAAACAACACAACAACAACAACAACAACAACAAAAACTTCCGCGCGAGCTTTTGCGAAATCTTAGGAAGATCATAAATTTGTCAAGATTTTCACAAAATGCTATGAAACGGGTTTCGCGCGCGCATGTCGAAATCTGTCGAACGCCCTTGCGCGTGTGCCGCCGCTTTAACCCTTTGCAAAACATGGGGCGAAGTGCAGACGCGCGCGTCGTCGCGCGCGTATGCCGAGAAAACCTTCAAAACCCATCGTTTTCGGAAGGATTTCAAAATCGTGTGTCCAAAAACCCTACGAAAACATAATGTTTCGCAACACGGATGTTCATCAAAAGCATGCGTGCGCGCGTTCTTGCGTCGTCGTCGTCGTCGTCGCCGTCCTCCCTCCTCCCGCGTCGTCGTCGTCGACGTCGCCTACGTCGTCCTCCGTCGTTCCTCGTGTTCGTCGTCGTCGTCCTCTTTGGCGTCGTGGTCGTTTCCGTCGTCGTTGTCGCCGTGGTCGTCCTTCCTCCGCCTCTCTCGTCGTCGTCGTCGTCCGTCGTCGGCGTCTCGTCGACGTCCCTCCTATTTCGTCGCCGTCGTCGTCGTCGTCGTTGTCGTCGTCGTCTTCCCTCCTCCCTCGTCGTTGTCGTCGTCGGCGTCGCCGTCCTTCCTCCTCCTTCGTCGTTCGCGTCGTCGCCGTCCTCCCTCCTCCCTCGTCGTTGTCGTCGTTGTCGTCTTTGTCGCCGTCGTCGTCCTTTCTCTTCCCTCGTCGTCGTCTTCGTTTGCGTCGTCGTCGTCTTCGTCGGCGTCGGCGTCGGCGTCGTTGTCGTCGTCGAAGTCGTCGGAGACGTCGTCGGTGTCGTCGTAGTCGTCGTCGGTGTCGCCGTAGTTGGTCTTAAGAGGTTTGGCAAACCAAGTTGCGGGTGGGTGGGTGGGATGTGTGCAAGAGCGTGGGATGTGTCAAATCATGGGTAAAAATCAATTGCACCACATAAGCTGCACCACATAAATTACACCACATGGCGTGCACCACATATCTCGCGCAACATATATTGCACCACATACACTGCACTACACAAATTGCACAACATAGGTCGCACAGCATAGGTTGCACAACCTAGACCGCACCACATAGGTTATGTCGCGCATGTGTATGTGAATATATAGCGTTACGTATAGTTCACCTCGCAAAGTGTTCCACGTGCGTTGCATAATTTAGGTTGGTAGAAACACAGTGTTTTGGGGCCCACGGTGGCCAGCATCTGTTTACGTTTCATAAGCACAAATAAGCTTTATACATACACACACATGTATGTCTTTGCGACGTGCCTGCGTGTAGATGTGCAAGCATGAGTCTTACGGGTTGCATGCTACGTGGCCTTATACATGGTGAGCGATGTATCGGATGCCCAACATTCGTGTTGCACGCTACTTGGTGCATCCTAGAAGGTGCAATCTACGTCGTGCAAACGCCAGCCAGCGCATGGAGCGGCCACGAAGCGGCCACGGGCGGCCATTGGGCGAAAGCCAGGAAACGACAGCCAGCGCACGGCGCGGCCACGAGGCGGCCAGGGCGGTAACCAGGCGAAACTTTGGAAACGCCAGCCATTTCCGCACAAGCGAGCTAAGAGACCAGGTTGAGGGGTAGGGGACAGAGGAGGAGACAGACAAAGGAGGAGGGAGGAGGAGGTGGAAGAGGAAGAGCCGGAAGAGGAGGCCCTTCTCGTTCTCTTCCCCTCCTCTTTCCCGTCCTCGCAGAGGGGTCGGAGGGAGGTGGGGCCACAGTGAGATGGCGTCAAGGCTGGAAGTGTTGAGCCAGAAGTTTTTTGAGTGCCGGATGGTCGAACAATTTTCTTTCATATAGCATTCAGAGCGTTCTGCCAGTGGAGAGTCTTGCCAAGACGTGTGCGATTCTGGACAAACGAGGGCGACGACGAGGACGGCGACAGCAGCCAGTTCTCTCCGCCGTCGCTCGCGCTCGCCGAGGGAGGGGGGCGGGTCTGGGGGGCGGCCTTCAAAAAATCCACCCCGTCTCTTCGACGCCATCCTGCTCTCTGGCCCAGGGGGGGAGCGAGAGGGGGCAGGCCTTCTCAGAAGGCGGCGGGGCTTCTCAGGAGCCCTTGTGTGCCTTCTGAGAGGTCATTTGCGTCTTCGGAGAAGGCTTACAGGACCTCTCCGAAGGCCGGAGGCCCTCTGAGCCCTTTGAGAAGGCCCGCCCCTCTGATTTCACCCTTTGGGCTCGCCACTGAAAAATTGTAACCCGCCTCTTCGGCGCCACCCTGCCATCTAGAGAAGCCTCTTAGGTTAGAGGTGCCCGCCGGTCCTCTTGGGAAGGCCGCCCCACCCCTCGCCCTGCCCCCTTCTGCGCTCCAGCCCTCGGGGCCTCTCCGGTGGCTTTCGGCGGGTCAAAAGGTTTTGGGAGGGGCGGCTGCCTCGTTGTCCTCGTCACCGCCGTCGTTCTCGTCGTCCTCGTCGCCGTCGCCCAGGCGCCGCTCGGTCTAGGCCTCTGCGACCACCCCGTCGCCCCCCCTCGCCCCTCCAGCGCGCCCGAGCGCTCCAGAGGGGCGCCACCGTCGTGCTCGCTGCTGGCGCCGTCGTCGTCCTCGCCGTCCTCGCCGTCCTCGTCGTCCTTGTCGTTCTCGTCCTCATCGCCGCCGCCGTCGTCGTCTTCGCTCGGTCCAGGTCTCTTTGGCCCCCGGCCCCTCCGCGGCGGCCCGCGCGGGGGCGGCCGAGAGCGCCGGCCGGAGCCATGCTGCGGCACGACCCGATCGTCCTGAGGTTTTCCGAGCTGCTGCCCTCGGAGCAAGAGGTCGCCGGGCACCCGCCGCATGTCCTGGTCGTCTCCTACTTTACTCAGCGTCGTCGGCCTCCTCCTCCCCGAGCTCCCCCCCTCTGTCCAAGCCCCCCCCCCGACACCCCCCCCCGCCTGCCAGTCCTCCTCACCCTCGGCCTCCTTCTGCTCCTCATCCTCCTCCTCATCCGCCTCATCCTCCATCCTCCTCCTACCTACTCCTCCTCCTCCTCCTTCTCCCCTCCTCCTCCCCCTCCTCCTCCTCCTCCTCCTCTTCATTCTCCTCCTACTCCTCTGTTCTCCTCCTCTTCCTCCTCCTCCTCTTTTCTCCTCCTCTGTTTTCCTCCTGCATCCCCCTCCTCCCCTCCCTCCCTCAACTCACAGTAGGCCAGCTAGTCAGCAGGTAGCAACTGGATTCGGAAGGTCCCACACGTCCTGCCCATCAGAACTCACACTTGAAAGCAACGTTGTTCTTTTAACATGGACGTTGTAGCGTCGACGCTGGAAAATGCGCGGCAGGAACGGGACTGGGCGCACATCGCGCGCGAAAGTGCGGAACGTGCCTCTGACCTCGGCGCCGCGCTGAGATGTGAGTTCCCGCCTAGGCGCGGCGCACATCCTTCGCATGACAATTTGTCGACGCACGAGCGGGTGGAGATGTCGCTGACACCTCGGCGCCTCGCAGATTTCGCCTGAGCGCGGCGCCCCCGCCTCGGCGTGGCGCACATTTCTCACTCGTCCTCCCCCCTCCTCCTCCTCCTCTCCTCCTCCTCCTCCTCCTCCCCCCCTCTCCCTCCTCCTCCTCCTCCTCCTCCTCCCTCCCTCCTCCTCCTCCTCCTCCTCCTCCTCCTCCTCCTCCCCCACTCCCGCTTCCTCCTCCGCCTCACCCTCCCCCCTCCCCCGTCCTCCTCCACCTCGATCTCCAGCTGCGGACAGTGTCGAGCGCTCCTCCTCCTCCTCCTCCTCCTCCTCCTCCTCCTCCTCCTCCTCCTCCTCCTGTTCCTGTTCCTGTTCCTGTTCCTCCTGTTCCTGTTCCTGTTCCTGTTCCTGTCCTGTTCCTCCTCCTCCTCCTCCTCCTCCTCCTCCTCCTGTTCCTCCTCCTCCTCTTCCTTCTCCTCCTGCTCCACCTCCTCCGCGCTCTCCTCCTCTCCTCCAGAATTACACACTGTGAATACTACTCTCCTCTCTCCCCTGATGACGTCCAGAAGATATATCCGCCCCTCCGCGTATTATTTTTTCACACAGGATTCCCAGGAAATGGGTTGTCGCTTGGGCTTGTGTTCAAAATGTTGTTCCCGCTGAAGCGCTATGTCTGCGCCTCTGGTTGTTCCAAATCGTGCTCCCGCTTCAGCGCCTCTTCCTCCTCCTCCCCCTCCTCCTCCTCCTCCTCCTCCTCCTCCTCCTCCTTCCCCCTCCGCCTCCCCCTCCCCCTCCGCCTCCGTCCTCCTCTCCCATCGCGCTCCAAAAAATCCGTGCTCCGTATCAGAATAGATGATTAAACCTCCCAGATCCTCTATCCTCGGTCATCCTCCGCCTCCCTCCCGACGCATCCCCTGAGAGGGGGGTATGAGGATGGAGGAGAAGGAAGACGACAACTGGAAGGGGGGTAGGACGTGGACGAGGAGGAGGAAAGGGGGGAAAGGGAAGAGGAGGAATGGGGTAGGAGGAGGAGGTGGAGGATGAGGAGGGGAAGAAGAGGAGAAGAGAAGGAGGAGGAGGAGGAGGAGGAGGAGGAGGAGGAGGAGGAGGAGGAGGAGGAGGAGAGGAGGAGGAGGAGGAGGAGGAGGAGGGCAGGGGCCGTAGGAAGAGGAGGAGGAGGAAGAGGAGGGGGAGGAGAGGAGGAGGAGGAGGAGGAGGAGGAGGAGGAGGAGGAGCGTAGGCTGAGGACGCGGAGGGGAAAGACGCGGAGGAGAAGGAGGACGGTAAGGAAGAAGGCCTCTATGTTTGAGGTCGGGCTGGCGAGAGAATTGCTCGCGCGCCCCGAGCACATCATGCTCGCCCAGGACCTCGAGCGGAGCGTGGCGATCGGGAGTGCGGAGGCGACGCTCTGGCGGTATTGCTGGCAGTCGCGCGAGGACCTCCTACGCCTCCTCCTCCTTTCCTCGTTCTCCTCCTCCTCCTCCTACTGCTCCTCGTTCACTGTATCGTTCGTCTCCTCTGTCCCCTCGTTTCGCTCTTCCTTCCTCCGCCATCCTCGCTCATCCATCCTCCACTCACCTCCCTCGACCTCCACTCCGCTGCCATATCTCATCATTCGTACTCATTTCTCGCATCCTCCTGCCCCGCCTCATCAATACCCAGCTGCCTGCAGCAAGTCCCGTCACGGTGCCAGCTCAACAGTTTCGGTGGGAGGTGTTCGAATAGATGATGATGGTGATGATGGGGATGATGATGATGGTGATGGTGATGCTAATGATGGTGATGATGGTGTTGTTGATGCTGATGTTGCTGTTGTAGCCGATGCTAATAATAATAATGACGATGCTGATACGTATACTGATGATGGTGATGATGATGGTGATGATGAAGACGATGTTGCTGATCAGTGTGACGATGCTGATGCGGATGTTGATGCTGTTGATGGTGACGCTGATGATGGTGGCGATGATGTTGATAATGATGATGCTGATGCGGAGGCGGATGATGATAATGATGGCGATGATGCGGACGCTGATGATGGTGATGGTGATGATGGCGGCGATGGCAATGCTGATGGTGATGATATTGATGATGATGTCGATGACGTTGATGATGCGGATGATGATGATGATGATGATGGTGACGATGAGGATGATGATGATGGTGCGGATGATGATGATGATGATGATGATGATGAAGATGATGATGATGATGATGATGATGATGATGATGATGATGCGGTGGTTGATGATGGTGATGATGGCGATGGTGGTGATGGTGCGGCCGGTACTGGTGATAATGATAAGATTGATGGCTATGCTGGTGGTGTTGTTGGTGACGTTGGTGACGGTCAAGATGATGCGGATGATGGTGCTGATGATGATGCTGTTGATGACGATGATCATGCTGATGATGGCGAGGGTGCTAGTGTTTGTTATGGTGGTGGGGATGGTGATGGCGACGATGGTGCGTGATGGTGGTGGTGACGATGATATCGGTGGTGATGATGGTGACGATGATAGTGGTGGTGTTGTTGATGATGATGGCGACGAGGATGATGGGATGATGTTGATGGTCACGACGATGATATTGATGACGATGATGGCGATGGTGATGACGATGATGAGGAAAAGGAGGATGATGGTGATGATGGCGATTGCGATGATGGTGATGGTGACGGTGCCAATAATGGCGATGGTGATGATGATGGCATTGATGGTGGTGGTGATGCTGTTAGTGATGGCGATGCTGATGAAAGTGAAGATGGTAATGGTGGTGGTCATGGTGATGGCGATGGCGACGACGTCAATGATGATGATGGTATTAATCTTGTTGAGCATCATCATGGTGCTCAGGAGGATGGTGATGTTTATGATGAGTATGAGTATGATTACGACGCCGCTGATGATATATGTGATGATGATACTGATGGTGGTACTGATGATGATGGTGCTGAGTTTATTGCTGCTGCTGTTGTTGATGCTGGTGTTGATGCTAAGGCTGATGGCGGTGATGGTGATGCTGATGATGCTGATGGTGATGACGATGAGAGAATGAGAGGATGCGGAGGAGGAGCAGGAAGAGGAGGAAGGTTAGAGGACTGCAATGGTGGACGAGGAGGATGGGTAGTAGGATGGTGATGATGGTAAGGGTGAGGATAACGATGGTCATGATGCCGATGAGGAGGTCGAGGACAAGGATGGAGGAGGAGGAGGAGGAGGAGGAGGAGGACGGCGAGGACGAGGATTGCGGTGTTGATGTTGATAATGATCGTGAGGAAGAAGAGGAGGACAGTCAAAGCCTTTACTTTTTGAGGAGCTCTCACGGGGCTCTTTTCGGACGTGGTGGGGCGTGCTTGGTCTCATGTGGGGCCATCGTGGGGCCCCTTGGGGCCCTCTTGGGTTGTATTGCAGACGTCGTGGCCGTCTTGGGGTATCTTGGAGCCGCTGCGGGGCCAGATTAGCAATCTCTTAAGGAGCTCTCTGGGTCGTCGTTGGGCCCTCTGGGGGACCTTGAGGGCCGTCTGAGGGCCTCCATTGGGTCGATTCGGGGTCATCTTGGACCGCTATTGCGCAATCGTGCAATCCTCTTGGGCCGTCTCAGGGCCAACTTGGAGCCCTCGTGGGCTGTCTTGAGGCCATCTTGGAGGCACCCTTGGCCGCATTGAGCTAACAGAAGCCCGAAAACATGAGAATACGACAATCCAGCAAAAACCTACAGACCATCAATGATTTTGGCATCTTCGGGCGCTCTTGGAGGTTCGCTTGGAGCCCTCTTGAGCCGTCTTGAAGGCCTCCTGGGCTGTGTTGAACCATCTCGGGCCGAACCGTTTTAGAAGCCATAGTGGGCATCGTGGACGCTATTGAGAGCGCCAGGGAGGCTTCGGGCAGCCCAGGGAGCCTCGGGAGTCCGCTGCTTGGGGGCGTACCTTTTATCAAAATACAGGAACCCTGCCAGGCAGCACTTTGCATTATACCACACCTCGACGTGCCAGAGGGCACGGCGATGGACCATTATCCTCCGCATTTCCACCCCCAGCCACTGCCGTTCCTCCTCATTATCCTCCTCTCGCCTTTGCAACCTCCTTACCCTATCCCAGTCCTTGCCCTCCTCCGTGTAACCCTCCTGCACCTGATCCTGATCCTCCCGACTCCTCCTGACGTTCCTACCCCCTCTTTCTGCTCATCCCCCCCCTCCTGCTCCGCCTTTCCCGACCCACCTCATTGCTATCATTCTCCCCCTCTTCCTCTCCCGCTTTACAGGACTCTCCGGCTGAATGCTCTCCTCCCGACCCTCCTGCGACGACGCCGCCGACGACGACGGCGACCAGGCCGACGACGCGACGCCGACGCCGCCGCCGCTGCCGCCGCCGCCGCTGCCGCCGCCGCCGCCGACGACGACGCCGACGACGCCGACGCCGACGCCGCCGCCGCCGCCGCCGCCGCCGACGACGACGACGACGACGACGACGACGACGCCGACGCCGACGCCGACGCCGACGCCGACGCCGACGCCGACGCCGATGCCGATGACGACGACGACGACGACGACGACGACGACGACGACGACGACCTCGCTGCAAGGGCGGCAGGCGGGGCCAGGCGTGCGCGGAGGGCGCCCGGGAGGGGCTCGAGCGCACCGCGCGGGCGCGGAGCCGGCTGGGCTTGGACGCAGTCCTGAGGCCAGGCCGGCGGGTGATGGCAGTACGATCGATCCTCCTCCTCCTCCTCCTCCTCCTCCTCCTCCTCCTCCTCCTCCGCGTCCTCCTCCTCCTCCTCCGCCTCATCCTCCTCCTCCTCCTCCTCCTCCTCCTCCTCCTCCTCCTCCTCCTCCTCCTCCTCCTCCCCTCCCCCTCCTCCTCCCCCCCCCTCCTCCTCCTCCTCCTCCTCCTCCTCCTCCTCCCTCCTCCTCCTCCTCCTCCTCCTCCTCCTCCTCCTCCCATTGCTAAGTATTCGAAAGTTCTTTGATTTGGGGGGGCAAGATCCTTTTACTTCTAGTTCTTCTGTCCTGGGCCTCTTCCTGGCCACCGGGGGGCCAGGAACAGGTAGGCACGAGCACAATCAGAAATGAGCACGATTAGAAATGGACGACGCATACGGGAAGAATGGTCATTATCGCCGGCAGAGTTCTTATCCATTTTGACCTGGACTCGGTGTCGGTGTCGCCGCAGACGTTGGCAGCTCAGGACAGGAGGACGCGTGCCCAGCAGCGGGGCACAGGCCATGGATGACGGAACTCGGCAGGGCCCCAAGCAGTGTGGTCCGACGAAGGCATCTATACACCACCACCGTGCCAGGCCAGGGCCATCCTGGGCCCCATGATGTATAGACCCTCTTGGCCTCGGCCAGGAGGGCGTATACACCATCCTGGGGCCCAGGATGGCCCTGGCTGGGCACGGTGGTGGTGTATAGATGCCTTCTGCGAAACCACCGCCACCAGTCGGCTGTCCCCGGCCCTCTCCTCCTCCTCCTCTCCCTCCCCCCTCCTCCTCCTCCTCCTCCTCCTCCTCCTCCTCCTCCTCCTCCTCAGTGGTGGTGGGGACAGTGGTGAGGGCGGTGGCGAGGACGGTGGTGGGACTGTGAGACAACGGTACAGTGGGGACAGTGGTGGGGAAAGTGGGGACTGTGGTGAAAACAGTGGGACAGGTCAGTGGGACAGCGGCGGGGACAGTGGGACAGTGGGGACATTGACGGCAGTGGGGCAGTGGTGGGGACCGTGGAGAAAGTGGGGAGAGTGCGACCGTGGTGGGAACAGCGGTGGGGACAGTGGGGACAGCGCGACAGAGGTGGGGGCACTGATGGGGACAGCAGTGGGGACGGTGGTGGGAACAGTGGTGACAGTGGTAGTGGGGACATTTGTGCTGGGGACAGCAGTGGGGGATGTGGTGCGGACGGTGGTGGGGACCTGGGAATCGTTTGCCGGCGGTGAGTGGGGGGGGTTCGAACTGGTAGTGACCCCCCTCGGTTTTCCAGAGGTGGAGTTGGGAGGTTCGAACCGGTAGTGCCCCCCCCGGTTTTCCGGAGGGGGGGGGAGGGGTTAGGGTTGGGGGGGGTTGCCGAATGGGAGGGGGGGGGGTCCACCAGGGAGGGGGGGAGGACCCCCAGGTTCCGGAGGAAGAGGGGGGGGAATTTTCCACAGTAGAGCGGCGGTGGATCACGCTCTCTCCGTTTTCGGCATCAAAGACAGATGCGGCATGACAGATTACCCCCATGGGGGAGGGGTTGAGAGTTGAGCTCTGGGGCCGCGGAGTGGAAAACATATCCTTGGATGTCCGTGGACGACGACGACAACGACGACGACGAGCACGACGACGACGACGACGACGACGACGACGACGACGACGACGGCGACGGCGACGGCGACGGCGACAACGACGACGACGACGACGACGACGGCGACGGCGACGGCGATGGCGACGGCGACGGCGACGGCGACGGCGACGGCGACGGCGGCGGCGACGGCGACGGCGACGGCGACGGCGGCGACGGCGACGGCGACGGCGACGGCGACGGCGACGGCGACGGCGACGGCGGCGACGGCGACGACGACGACGGCGGCGGCTTTGGCGTTTTTGGCGGCGGCGGCGACGACAACGACGGCAGCGGCGATTGACCGAGAGGTTCTTGGAGGTGTTTGGCCCTTTCGGGCCTCCAGCGGAGGCAAACGGGACCTCCGGAGGAGGTATCTGCAGAAGCTCTCTGGAAGACTTCAGGGAAGCTCTGGAGAGCCCCAGGGTCCTTGTCCCCAGGAGGGCTCTGCCTGGGAACGACAATCGAGGAGCCTTGGATCTTCTGGGCCTTGTTTGGACCTCCTAGGGCAGCATTGGCTGGGTCCGCCTTGGGATTCTGGCCAGAGCGCACCACCTTGGGATTCTGGCCAGAGCCTCCTCCTCCTCCTCCTCCTCCTCCTCCTCCTCCTCCTCCTCCTCCTCCCCCTCCCCCTCCTGCTGTCAACACCACGTCGTGACCCTGCACGCGCCCGCGGGCCACCCGCCCTGGCAGCGCGAGGGCGGCCCTTCGCACTGTGGTTCCCCCTCCGTCTGGGTCCGGGGCCGCGGCCCGCAGGCCAGAGGACGCCAGTCTTAAGTCGGGCCTGTCCCCCTACAGGGGGATTTTCGACGAAAAATCGAAAATACCCCCAACATGGTCAAACAACAGTCCAAAAATAGTCTGGGGATTATTTTTTGGGGTTTGTTTTGACCTTTGGGGGGCATTTTTGGGGTATTTTTCATGCTTCGTCGAAAATCCCCCTGTAGGGGGACAGGCCCGACACAACGCCAGTCAAATCCAAGAAGGGTTCAGTTCACGCAGGTCATTATGAGGAACCGCCCTCCGTCCGTGAAGCTCGTCAATATTTTAAAGCGCATGTGCGCGGCGTTCTGGCGAGAGCCACTGTCTGAAAAGGAGCCGCCCTCTGTCAAGACGAATGTGCACGGCGCTAACGCGAGGGCCAAATTTTGAAAGCGGATCGCCCTCCATCCACGAATGTCCTGAGAATTGTCAGGTTAATAGGTACGAGTGGTGAGGAAGCCTCGGGCGAAACGCCCGACCCGCCCTACCGGCACGCTTCTGGGCGCGACAGGGAGGAGTTAGTTGCAATAGAAATGAATCGAGCGTGGAGGAGGAGGAATCAGGAAAGAAGAGGAGAAGGCAGGAAGTTGTGAGGGAGGGGAGGGAGGAGGAGCGAGATGGGAGAGAGGAAAGGGGGAGGGAGGAGAAAGGAGGAGCAGGAGGAATCTGGGGGGCAAGGGGGAGCGAGTAGGAGCGCGGAGGGGCGAAGAGGAGCGAAGAGGATCCAAGAGGAGAGCAAGGCGGAGGAGCGAGGATGGAAGGGCCGCCCTGGACCTTTTAACAATCGGCCAGCGAGGGCGCCGCTCTTCACGGAGGACTTCCGGGATCTGTCCTGGAGGTTTGCGCCGTTCCGCCGGCAGCAGAGGATGGGGAGGCGGAGAAAGAGGGCACGGAGACGGGCAGGAGGAGGAGGTGGAGCAGCGGCAGCAGGAGAAGCAGGAGCAGGAGGGCGAAGAGGACAAGGACGAGGAGCGAAGAGGACTGCGAGGATGAGGAGGGCGTTGAGCAGGAGGAGGAGGAGGAGGAGGAGGAGGAGGAGGGCAAGGAAATGGAGGAGGAGGAGGAGGAGGAGGAGGAGGAGGAGGAGTACGACGACAAGGGGGGGAGGGAGAGGCGAAGGAGAAGAGGGGGAATGGGGAAGAGTGGAAGGGGTACGGAGGAGTGGACGACGACGACGACGACGACAACGACAACGACGACGAGAGCGAGGATGATGACGAGGATGAGGTTTACAGACGCGCTGGGTCAAGCACCCATTGTTAGCGCAAAGCAGCAGCAACTAAAGCACGTTAGAGGAGGAGAAGGCGGATGAAGAGGAGCAAGAAGCGGAGTAGGTGAATGAGTTCGTTCTTGCCCCCCCCCACCACCACCACGCTCCCCCCTTCAGACGGGATGTGTGAAGCTTGGGAAGCGTGAAGCGGGTGGAGGGAGCAGCCAAGCATCTTATCTAGACATCCAGGCGCCGTGGCAACGAAACACGATTGGCGATGATGTTCACAGTCTCGGCTTCTTTGGGCCATTTTCGGGCCCCCCGTGACAATCAAAACGACCGCGGCGGAGACAAAGGCAGGGTCGAGAGCTCCAGGGGCTCTCTCCGTGAAACACCACAACGTTCGTCTGGAGCTCTGGGCACGTGCCTGTCACCCCTGATGAGCCAGGGTCGGCGGATTCTTCTCGGTGATGCCTTTCAGCTGCCACGGGGTCGACAAGCTGGGGCATCCCGTGTACATCGTGAGATCAGGGCCCGCTTGCCCGCTGCCACTACCACAGGCAGTAGACGGATGGCCTTCCAGGTCTCGAAAAACGCGCGCTGAAGCCGTCGCTGCAGCCGTCGCCGCGCGTCGGGACGCATCGGATCGTCGAAATAGCGCATTTGAATCGGATCGGGCCTGCCGAAATCGACGTCGAATACGGCCTTTCGCATCGAAGTGGACCCTGCATCGGGGCAATGTCGCGTCTGAAGGTTCGGCCGTCCCCCAGCCGTGGTCGGGTTCCCGCCGCGCTGGCGCGGCGGCAACCTCAGCGCGGGCGTCCCAGGAAGGCCGTCAGTGACCCGGAAGCGGCCGATACCGGACGACCTTCGTTGTCGGACAATCGCGGTCATTCAAGGCTGAACGATCCACAGTCAGGTCATCGCGACGCTAACTTGTTGTGTGGCGAAGGCCTTACGGCTGGTGCCGCCGACCCTGAAAGGGGACGTCGACGACGACGGCGGCGGCGGCGGCGACGACGACGACGCTGACGTGGGCCCGAGTCCTCAGGGATGCTTCTTTGGGTCTCTTGGGAAGGCTCGCGGGGGCCTCTGGGGAGGAATTTCGGGGTCTGTTGGGAGCCTCTTGGGAGCCTCTTGGGGGCCTTTTCGGGTGTCCTGGGGGGCCTCTTGTGAACTTCTTGGGGCCTCTTGGGAACCTCGCGCGAGGGTTTCGGAATCGTGCGGGGGGAAACCTATCTGGATGGCGACCACCCCCTAGACGCCCCCAGGGCCCCACGGGACCCCCCGGGACCTCCCTCGGGACCCCCTATCCTCTTCCCGACGCGGGGAAGGGATCAAAGGGAAGGGGGCGTCCCTTCAATTCCACTCCTATGTTGTTCAATTTTGCTTTGGACGGCGCGTGAGAGGAAGACGGCCCAGGCAAATGGAACAGAGGAGGACGGAGACGACGACTCCAACGGAAAAGCCACTCGAACAGAAAAGCCCCCCACATACGCCGAAAGGGCCTGCGGATGTTCAGGGACGTCTGCATGCCGACAGTGCCTTGGAATCGACTGGTATCGGACGATCTTCGCTATCGGCAAGCCTCGATCATTCAAGGCTGAACGATCCAAAGTGGGGTGGTCGCGACGCTGACTTGCTGTACTGTCAGGAACGTTTGCTTGGCGTGTCGCGCCTCCTCCGCCTCCTCCTCCTTCTCCGCCTCCGCCTCCTCCTCCTCCTCCTCCTCCTCCTCCTCCTCCTCCTCCTCCTCCTCTTCCTCCTCGCCCCCTCCGCTACCGACCGCCTCTTCTTCTTCCCCCTCCTCCTCCTCCTCCTCCTCCTCCTCCTCCGCCTCCTCCTCCGCCTCCTCCCACCACCCCTCGGTGCGACCCGCGGAGCACGCCCCAGTCCCCAAGCAGCAGCGTTTGCCGAGAGCTCTTCCCGGCTGCCCGCCCTACGAAGCGGAGTAAGATGCCATCACAGGTTGCAAGACATGTCAGGGGAGGAGAAAACGCACAGACACAATTCATCGTCGATTCCCAAGAAAATATGTGAACATATGGGAAGTGGGGGGAAGACAAAAACCCAGAAAATACTGGAAAAACTAGGGAATCCTCTTATTTGTGTGCATTTGTTTGTGTGTCCCAGGGCCCCTTCAGCACGGCGTGTCGCAGGGGCCGCCATCGCGACGTGCTGAGCAACAGGTCCTGGCCGTGTGCCGGCGGTGGTGGGAATGCGGGCCGTGATGGGACAGGGCCAGGTCAGGGCAGAGGCCTTCGGGCGCCTGTGGTCCATGGGCCAGGCATTGCAGCAGCGAGAGCGCCTCGCGGTGAATGCCACCGTGCTCTTCGCCCTGCGGAGCTTCGAGTACCTGACGAAAGTTGTGATGGCGGACGAGACGTTGCGACAAGGCCGCGTTGTCGACCGAGTTCTGTTCGTCTCCGACTTCGGAGGGCTGCAGCTGAGCCAGCTGGACGCGTCGTTCCATGAATACTGCAAGAGCATGGCGAAAGAGATGATCACGCTGTTCCCCGAGACACTGCACTGCACCATCGTGGCAAACGTGCCCTGGATCATCGCGTGGAACGTGTGGCCGCTGCTCCGAAGGCTCCTGCACCCCGTGACGCAGGCCAAGCTGCTGTTCCTGCACTCGGCGGGCCTCAGGCAGAAGCTGCTGGAGCTGGTCGAGCCCGACCAGCTGCCGCCCTACCTGGGGGGGAGCTGCTGCTGCCGCGAGTGCGTCTCTGGACAGATGCGCGGTGGCTCGATGCGGGCCGTCGGGAGAGGGAAAGCATCCACCACGACCAGCCCCTCGCGGGGCCAGACCTTGGCGGAAGCCACCTCCCGGCCAGGGAGGAGGAGGAGGAGGAGGAGGAGGAGGCAAGAGGAGGAGGAGGAGGAGGAGGAGGAGGAGGAGGAGGAGGGGGGTGAGGCGGCGGCGCGAGGCCCGAGAGAAACTGTGGGCCTCGCGCAGAGCGGGGCTCCCCATCCACCAAGACTCGGGCCCGATCTGGGCTTGTAGAGGCCTGATGGTGGTGGGTGCTCCCGCACGTTCCGGCGCCGCGTAAGATCACAACGGGCGGTTCTGCCTTGTGTCCGGCCACAGACCATCACGGATCGATCCGACCGAAAGGGCGCATGGTTTAGGTGAGGGGTCCACGAGCAGGTCGTGAGGTTTTCGTGACGTCGCGCTTTTCACGACGCTGGATTTCGGCGGCGCGCAAGCAGAGGTGTGGCAAGCAGCGGCGGCCTTCTGAGAAGACAGGGGGGCCTTTCGGAAGCCTTTGACAGCCCCCGCCCCCACCATCTGCGCGCCGCCGTGGATGCCGGGGATGGAGGGCGCCGCCAGCGCCGCAGCGCCTCGAGCGGCGCCCCCCACCCCCCACCCCCCCGCCCCATCTGCCCGCCGGTCAGGACGTCGGGGCGTTCTCTCCCCCTCCTCAGGGCGTGGGGGGGAGCCGAGGGCGCCGCCAGCGCCGCGGAGGAGCGGGCGGCGTCCCGCGCCGCCCCCCCACCTGCGTGCCGCCGGGGATGTCGGAGCCGTCCTTCCCCCAGGAGGATGAGAGGAGGAGAGGAGGGGGGCGGAAGGAGGGAGAGGAGGAGGAGGAGGAGGAGGAGGAGGAGGAGGAGGAGGAGGAGGAGGAGGAGGAGGAGGAGGAGGAGGAGGAGGAGGAGGGAGGAGGAGGAGGAGGAGGAGAGGAGGAGGGAGGAGGAGGAGGAGGAGGAGGAGAGAGGGAGGAGGAGGAGGAGGAGGAGGAGGAGGAGGAGGAGGAGGAGGAGGAGGAGGAGGAGGAGGACCCCCCCAGGCGTGGGAGGAGGCCGAGGGCGCCGCCGGCGCCGCAGAGGCCGAGCGGGCGGCGGCGTCCTCGAGCGCCGGGGCGGCGCGGAGGCCCGGCGGGCCCCTGCGGGTGCTCACGGACTGCTGCTGCGGCGGCGCCGAGAAGAGCTGCAGCCCCGGGCGGCCCAGGCGCGCCGGGCGAGGGGGGAGGAGGCGGAGGACGACGACGAGGAGGAGGCGGAGGAGGGAGGAGGTGGAGGAGGAGGGAGGAGGAGGAGGAGGAGCAGGAGGAGGAGGAGGAGGAGTGCGTCGCGAAAAATAGAGCGACGGTTGATTATCCTCGATTTCAACCTATTTGGGACGTCCCTCGGCCCCGCCTACAGGGCATCGAGACGCATCGCACGTGCAAGATACGTAGGCACAAGCAGCACAAGCATCTTAGCTGCTCTTCTCGGCGACTTCTTGGTAGTTCAAGTAATCGATCTGTTTGACGGTCCTGCAACACCGTGCAAGAAAGATTCAGAGCTAGAAAAGTGCCCCCCAGAGGTGAGGTCCAGAGGCGCGTTGGCCGAGGGGGGAGCAGGCATGGAGAGGCTTCAATCCATCAGTCATGTCGTATAGATATATACAGATTACACATGTATACTCTCTCTCTCTCTCTTTCTCTCTCGCTCGTTCTCTCGTTCCGTCATGCTTTGAGCTCGGCAGTCGGGCTTGGTCCTGGTCGGCTCCGGACTCCTGTGGCGGCTGCGGCTGCGAGGCAGGGCCTCGGGAAGGGCAGCAGGCCATGCGGGGGCTCCTGCGGGCGGTCTGCCCAGATCCACGGTCGCGCCGTCACCGCCCTCCTCCTCCTCCTCCTCCTCCTCCTCCTCATCATCATCATCATCATCCTCATCCTCATCCTCATCCTCATCCTCATCCTCCTCCTCCTCCTCCTCCTCCTCCTCCTCCTCCTCCTCCTCCTCCTCCTCCTTCTCCCCCTCCCCCTCCCCCTCCCCCTCCTCCTCTGGCCCAGGCGAGAGAGGCGGCCCCTGCAGGGTGCGCTGCCCGGGCGCGCCCGCGGCGGCGGCGGCGAGGGCGCGGCCCGCGGGCCGCGCGGCAGCTGGGCGGCGGGAGGCCCAGGCGGGCGAGGGTTGCCACGTGGGCCGCTGTCCGTCCTCAGTTGGATGTGTCCTCCTCTGCGTGCTCCCCCTTCCCCTCTCCCTTCTGCCCCCTCTCCTCTTACAGACCTGGAGGCATAGGCACCAGGCTCTAGAGATGAACGCGGACCCAGGTCCCATGTCAGCGTCCCACCACCACCTCGCGGCTGTCGTCGGCGTCGTCGTCGTGTCGTGTCGGCGGCGGGAGGCCCAGGTGGGCGAGGGCTGCCACGTGGGCCGCCGTCCGTCCTCAGTTGGATGTGTCCTCCTCTGCGTACTGCGGGATGACGATTGATAAAAAATGGGAGAGAACGACTAAACAACAATAGTTTCCTGCTATTTCGGCACGGCTTTCGGACTGGAGGAGAACGATAAAAAAATAAAGTTGTTCCAGCCCGCGGCTGGTTTTTTTCTAATCGTCATCCCGGGCGCCGCCGCGTGAACACGACCCCTGGTCATTTATTAATCGTCATCCTCCATTACTCTGAGGTCGGGCCTGTTCCTCTACAGGGGGAATCTTCAAAAACAGTCGAAGAAAGTGTGGGGACTAATGTTTGAGTATTTGGGGGCATATTATGAGTATGTTTGGCGTAGTTTTTATTTGTCGCCCAAAATCCCCCTGTAGGGGGACACGCCCGACTTAACCGTACTCCCCTTCCCCCTCTGCCTCCTTCTTCCTCGCGGCTGTCGTCGGCGTCGTCGTCGGCGTCGTCGTCGGCGTCGTCGTCGTCGTGTCGTTGTCCGTCGCCACCGTCTGGGTGTGCCTCTTGGGGGCAAGCTTCGACCCCCGCCGTCCCTGCCAGGCCGTGCAGAGTCGCAGCAGGCATCCACGGTCAATTGTGTTTGCTGTCCATCTGGCGGTCGGCTTGGTGTGGGTTCGCAGCGGGCGAGGGTAGATGGTCGGTTGCTCGCAGCTCGGAAACTGGAGGTGGAAGGGGTTGGTGTGAACCGATTTAATATCGGACTCCTCTCGTTCACCACTCGCCCGTCCGCTCCTACCGCGTACGAGGCAGCCAAAACGTTTACTCGGGCATGTCGCTCCCGCCTGAGACCCCCATACAGCTTGAC